ACCAATTGTCCATAAGCATATCCAAAGGAGAGACTGCCAATTCTAAAACAGAAAAATGGGAAATAAGGGAGAAATTCGAGTCTGGGAGAGAAAATAATAAGAGTCAGATATTTCCAGAACATTTGGGGGTTGCCCAAAACCACAGTAGAAGGATTAGAGGAGATACTACTGAAGCCAAGAGGTTACTGGCATAGTTAACAAGCAATGTCACAAAAGAAAATGCAGGGGAAAGATATGTTTCTTCAAAAAAAGAGAAAAATCTTGTCCACATAACTATCTCCCACCTAGTTAGTTCATTCTGGGGTCTTATTTATATAGTGTGTTCGATTTAAAAAAAAAAAAAGATGAATCGTTTCCTTGCTACAAGACCTCAGCTATTCAATGGTACTTGTGATCATGTTACCTGTAGTTTCACCATGTCAATGTTCCTGCTACAAAATCACCGCCTCTTCTGAGTATATAGAGCAAGGAATTCATCAGTCTGGGTGAAGCTCTGGCAGGTCATAAAGCTACTGTTTGCTGAAGGACTTTTATGACAGCTTTTTTCTTTTACCAGTATTCTGTATTTCCCTCAGGATAAATACAGCCCAGCAGAAGTTATTTGTTAAATTTTTATCCAGACTTTTGCTCAAGAACGTAAGGTACAAAAACACCCTGTAAGTTGTTAAGAGACTATAAAGGTAAAATACTAGCATATTTTACTCCACTAGTCATTGCTGACTATAGGGGGCGATGCTCATCTCCATTTCAAGGCCATTGAGCCAGCACTGTCATTTCTGTGGTCATGTGGTGAGCATGACGCACAGAACGCTGTTCCCTTCCCACCGAAGTGGTACCTATTTATCTACTTGCATTTGCATGCTTTCGATCTGCTAGGTTGACAGGAGCTGAGGCGAGGACGGGAGGCTCACCCCATTGTGTAGCACCTGGGTCTTGAACCTGGGCTGACGGCTTTCCAGCTGACAAACCCAGCGTCTTAACCACTGAGATGCCACGCCAACGGTAAGAGAGTGTGACCTGCCCAAAATCAACCCATGAACTTCCATAACTGAGGTTCAAACAGAACATGGGTCTGAATACTACACCGAATCAGTTCTTGTGAAGTCTTCCATCAGTTTTCCCTTTCTTGTGTTCCTGAATGAAATTGTCCTATGGCAGTGCTGGCCCATTTAGGAAAGAAACCTCATTAAGTAAATCAAACACAATGGATACATTCAATCCACTTTAAATGTGAAGATTACCCCCCACACACACACAATACGACTTTATAGAGACTTTAAAATAGTTTGATGGAGAAGCCCCAGATCCAGATCTTAAAAAGAGCATTTTTTTCCCTCATTAGCGAAGATGCCGGCAGAAATAAACTATCTGACAGCTTGCCTGGCCTTGACAAGGCCTTCACAGTTTCAGGAAAAATGTGACTCTGAAGCAGGCAGCGCAGGATAAGGAATATGCAAGGCTGGCAGGAGTTATTTGGATGTCATTCTTTCTTTCTCTGGGAGTACTTTTTTTTTTTCACTGCAAGAAGCAAGACCTTCTATTTTCTGATCTAGAAATCAAAAACAAAACCTACCAGGCAAGACTTTGGATTCAGTTTTGAGACAGTCCGGATAGTGCTTAGTGAAATCCCTGCCTTATCGCTGCCAAGATAGGCTTTCGGTAGATGACACAATATACAGTATGAGCAGCAAGAAAGCAGCGAGCAAAGAGACTGCGCTGCCATTCCAGAAGGTCTGTTTATTGCTTCCTCTATAGCAGGAGTGTCAAACACAATTTCATTGAGGGCCGCATCAGGGCTATGGTTGACCTGGCGGGGGGGGGCGCGCTGGCCAATTGGGTGGGTGTGTCCAACTGGGTGGGCATGGCTAGTTTGAAACCACTCCCTAAACCGCTGGCATGTTCCTCTTCGCATTGGGTAGACTGGGTCAAAGCCATGCTGGCCTGATCTTTCCTCTTCACATTGGGTAGACCGGGCCCCATGGACCAGATCTGACCACATCCAGCCTGCAGGTCTTGAGTTTCACGCCCCTGTTCTACAGATTAGAAACTGAAGAAATCAGAAATGAGGATTTAGTTTTGCAATTCAATCTAGCTCTTAAGATCACACATTTTCTTTTTATTAACATTGGCACTCGACTTTTCTCTTTCCAATTAAATGATATTCAGGACCATGCTGTTATTTGGAGATCATTCATAGCCTGAAAATGCATCAATTCTTCTTATTGGTATTGAATTGAATGGCGTTAATGAGTGTACACAGACAGGAATGTATATTGTTTTCTTAAGCATTAACAAAAAGTACATTAAACTTTGCGCTAGAGTGGAATCCAGAGAGTCAAATTTCTAATTTTTACTGGGGGTGTTCTGCACTCTTTCCAACTCTTTTAGGATAAAATTTAAGTGAACTAAAAAAAAAAATCCACATACCTTCTGTGAAAATAAAATGCTTGCTTACAGTGCTGTTCAATCCATCATTGCTTATCATTTTCAGCTAATGCAAAATAGTTTCATTACTCAGGGCGAAACAAAAAATTAGGGAGGAATGTTTGTTAAACCTGTAATGATTGCAAGCAGCCACTAGATGGTGGTGACTAACCTTGGAACCTAATTCCATTGAAGAAAATCTTCACAGCACCAGAAATAAAAGTTGACAAAATTAATGTTGAGCAATTTTAGTGGAGCAAGGGCAGTAAGACCCATCCACAAATATGTTAAGGATTTTATTATTTTATTTTAAATAAAATAATAAATTTTTCATAATTTGATTATTTATTATCTAGGGCTGGGCCACAAGCCCAAATGAACAACAAAACTTTCTAGATGAACACACACACACACACACACACACACTCAAATCTTAAAAAGTAGACTAAGTCTCAGGTAATATAAACAAGGGGTTTCTTTGGACAATAACTGAACATCTTTTGAATGTACTTAAAGACAGATAAATCCTCACCCCTAGTAAAACCTGTCTATTAAATGCAAAAAGTAGCAGTTTTATCGGGTAGTCTGGAGTAATTGTTTCACTGAATCGTTTTATGCTTTTAAAAAAGCTTGCTTTTAACCCATTTGTAGTGTGGAAATTTGAAGTGGAAAGTCCTATAAATCAACAAATCAGCTATCATCTTCCTACTAGTTAATTCATTATTTTATTAATCCACATATATTATTACACATGTGACCCATTTGTTCTCCAAATGCTTCTGTCATCCCTTGCCGGTTTTAACTTCAGAATCAGAAGTCCACCCTGTGCCTACAGATCCCACAGAAGCAGCAGCCAATGTGCTACTAGCTGGAAATTAAGGCTTCACATTACAGAAATGTTTCTTGAGAGAGTCATCTGTTTTTTCCTTTTCTCTTTCCACAAAATGTCTAGTCTAAAAAAGAAAACCCTTCAAATTCCCAAAATTGTTTTCTGTCACATAACAAACTGTATTATATGTATTATATTCACACACCCTGTTATATCATAACGTGGTTTGTTTGGTTTGGCTGATTGCATGGGAATTTCAAGACAGGAGCGATTTGGCTCCCAGATACCTCATGTTCTTAACTCCGCTCTTCCAAAACAAGTTAAATTTGGTCTGTTTATGACTTTAGGAGGGGAAGGATACCAGGGAGTTATAGGTGGGAATGTAAGGAAGATTTCTAACCCCCCCCACTTGGGGGTCCTCTCATCCCAGAAAGACTGGGCCACTGAAATGTGATATTTCTGCCATATTTGGTAGACCAATATTTTTCAGAAGTGGGTGCTTACAAAACCCCACATGGCTTGTAGAGATGCCCAAGATGCCCATCATTGTATTAGATTAAACCCTGTTGCACATAAACTTGTGGGTTATTTAATAAACCATTATTAAATAAGCCACTCTTTAGCACAAACAAACTCTGGACTAGATTCACATGTTGCACTAAGCTATTTTCACTTAGCACATTGTGTGAACCTGGAGATTACAGGCTATTAAAAATCATGGTTTGAGCAAACTATGACTTAGTATAATGTGTGGACCCAGCCACAGTATAACTACAGTTGGCAGATGTTTTACACCTAGTAATGCAAAATAAAAGATTTTCCAATCTTCATTATTATTCATATACACTAGGATAAAATTACATGAGCTTGAATCTCAATCACATTATTCTAAAGCATAATTCCAAATTATTTTTTAACCAGGCAATTCATTCAATTCTTCTATCCATATGCAAACATAATTAAGACATAATAAAGGTAAAGGTTCCCCTCACACATACATGCTAGTCATTTCTGGCTCTAGCGGGCAGTGCTCATCTCCGTTACAAAGCTGAAGAGCCAGCGCTGTCTGAAGACGTCTCTGTGGCCATGTGGCCAGCATGACTAAACGCCGAAGGCGCACAGAACGCTGTTCCCTTCCCACCAAAGTGGTCCCTATTTTTCTACTTGCATTTTTACATGCTTTACAAACTGTTAGGTTGGCAGAAGCTGGGACAAGTAACGGGAGCTCACTCCATTATGCGGCACTAGGGATTCGAACCACCAAACCGCCAACCTTTCTGATCGACAAGCTCAGAGTCTTAGCCACTAAGCCATCACGACTCATAATATCTTCAGTCATAATATGCTTATATCCAAAATCATTTATTAATTTTGCTACAACAGTTAATCAGAGACATGTACTACATATTTCAAGAACTGTTTCATTAGGAAAAATCAAGAGTCTATATTTGGAAAACTATTTCTTGACTTCAAACACCTACATTTCAAGTAAAAAAGAAAAGACAAATGTATCAAATATTTTGAAAATGGAAAAAAAAAAGTTTTGATTTTCTGGTATTTTTCACATTACTCTTGGATTTTCAACTTCAAATCTCTTAAGTGTCACCTTTTTTTTCTTCCAAAGATTCAAATGAGATGAAATTATGTTATATTAATATATAATATAATGTGCCATATCAATTTTGCTTCTAACGATGTTTCACTGCTGACACAAATTTCTCCATTTTCAAATTATTTTATGGCCAATTTCAACTGATTTGGGGGGAAGAACCCTGTGGCAGCCTTTTTTTTTTTTTTTAAATGAAGGATTTAATACTAATTTTCTCTTTATTGGATGTACATTTAAGGATCGGGCTCCACAACGAGTAATCAGCACAACTGAACAAATTAGACTAAGAAAAAAACAACTGTCGATCAAAATGCTATTTGCGGTCTTCATTTAACCTGGCGTACATCTTGGTACTGAAAAGCTTGTCTTCACTGGGGGAATAAGACGCATCTTTGATCACCCCTGAAAAGGAAGAATCCACCACTGGATGGAAAGGAAAAGCAGGAAACAAGCCATTCCTCAGGTACGGTGCCATCAATCCAGGTAACGCTCTTCCTGGAGGAGAGTAAGTCACTCTTAGAGGTCCGAGTCCAAGTCTAGGGCTTAAGCCATAAAAGGTCATCTCTCTCCTGGAAGAGGCCGAGCTGGTTTGAAGAGGCACAAATGCTGACTTGTTGCCAAGCGCTGCGACATCTATTCCAAGGCCAAAATCGGAAGATCTCTGAAAAGCACTGCATTCGGGCAAGACTGGGATTGCAAGCTCCCGGAATCCTTGCCTGTGTTCGCTGGCATTCAGGATCTGCTCTATAGCTTGGACTATGTCTCCTCTGCAGAGCTGCAGAACTCTTTCCAACCTGCTTGATTTGTGATTAGGGAAGACCTTGGTAAGAATATTGAGGGGGTCTCTGCGCTTTAAGCTACCGTCAGCAGCAGGAACAGGAGGGACACTGGCATTACAGGGAACAAAATCCTTGGGACACTCGCTTTCGTTTCCTGATTCCATGTCCGAAGAAGACGAAGAGGCTGGGCTGTCAGTTCCTTCTAAAGATTCATCAGGACCCGATAAAGAGATCTCTTTACTTAAAGCCTGCATCTCGGGTGGCTTCTCTTGATTGCTTCCAGCAACTTCAGGAGAAGATGTCAGAGACGGTGTAAGCAAATGGACTACAGAACTGCCCGATCCACTGCAGTAGAAGTCATACTTCTGAATCTTCTCTTCTAATGGGGGGAAAAAAATGCAGGCAAATACTAAAGTTATTACAATATATCTGATTTATCTACCACTTTCTCATATAAACACCCTAAGGCCTCTAGGCATTACCAGTTATGGAATCGCATCTTGTATTCCATATGCTACGTACACAATTCAGTGCCTTTAAAAACTCTTATTTCCACTGCACTGCACATACAACAGATTTCCCATATACACCTAGTTTACCATAAGTGTCCGTGTCACAGGTTGCTATATGCATGGCATATGATGTACATATCCTTGTTTTTTTCGTACCTATTATGAAATATCCAAGCAGGATTGTTCACTTGTACAGAGTGTGAAATAAATGCACTTACTGCAAAGTAGAAATATTGCAACAGTACAACATGGAAATGGTAAAATGGAAATGGTAAAATGGAAGCAATATCCACACAGGATATTCTTCATGTGTGAAGAAGTCATTCCCAAGTGCTTAAAACCTACAAACTGTATCTGAAAGTAAATTGTCGTAATTGGATGATGTGCTTTTGTCATCCATAAAGAAGCAAATAATGTTTCAATGCTTTCCCCATACTCGTTCTTCTGCCTCCCTCCACAGATTTCCTGTAGCACAAGCTGATCTGCAGAAAGACCATTTAAATTAATGAGAGCACTAAAAGAAAACTATAATACCCATTATCTTTTAACAGAGCTTTCCCAAGACAATTTCTTGGTGCTTTATATCTTTATATTCTACAATTGCCCATATGAAGGCCAGATCATAGATTCAGTTCATTTGCCTTGGAATAAGCAACATATTCTGTTTTGGTAGTGTACATGCAATGCCAAATGCTTGCAACATGAATAATACTTTTGTATACTTTTTAGAAAAACTATTTTTCCAAGCATTAATATTTTCTTTAAAATGTAAGCAAATGGCCAACCTGTACCCTGGCAGCTCTAAAAAGACCAGAGAAATATTTTATGAATCCTGACACACCCATGATTAAAAATGAAACTTTTTAAAGTTCTAATAATCCATGCTATGGAACATGATGAAAAGCCACAATCTTAACACATTCTGGGAAATGCCAGAATGTGATTGTGTTTGAGATGGACGAAGAGCTACAATGCTATTAAAAACAGACTTTTTAGCATCTTTTGAACCTAAAAAGACTTCATATTCTTTCTACCAGCACAAACCCATTTAGTTGAACGGATCTTACAGAGATCAATGGATTCTATCTATGGTTCATTTCAATTCCAGCAATACATAGAGCTGAACTATGGGGTTTTTTTGCTTTCCTTTCCTTCCTCCCTCTCTCTTCCCTCTTTCTTTCTCTCTTCCTTTCTTCTTTCCTTCCTTCCTTTCTTTTTTCTTTTTCTCTAGCTACAGAAAAGGCAGATTCCTACTTTACAATCTATTACATCCAGCAAACCGATGACTGGTTTCCTAAAGCGTTTCTTCCCTAATCCCAAACAACAATTCATTAAGGAATGAATAATCTCCATAATCCAAAAAAGGATTTGAGCTGCGCAACTCGTCTATAAAATAGCTCCACGTGAAATACACACTATTATTTGCCTTGAAGGTCATTAAGAACGCAAGAAAAAGAGCGTCCAATCGGTCCTATCGCAAATTGCTCTCAAAACACATCATTGTACACTTTCAAAGAGACCCTCCCCCTTCTCGGTGATCTCCCTCTGATCTCGAAGAAATCTAAAAAAAAAAAAACTTAAAAGTTGGGGGAAAGAACCAGCGGTTCTCCTTTCCCCTCAAGAGACGCTTCATTGTAATTGCCAACATCCTCGATTCTCCGCCGTTCAGACGTCAACTCTCGCGAACCGCGCTGACTGAAACGCCACCAATTTCCCACCTCTGATTTAAAGCCCTTTAAGCTCGAATCCGCCGCGGTGGATTTGAGTTCGGGAGGTTGTCTTTCTGCCCCCCGCCACACAAACACACACACACAACACAACACAACAACTTTTTATGGAAATTTAACACTCCCCCCCCCCTCAACCCCGAGGGGAATCCCACCTCTTCGCCCGCGTTGGAACTCCGGAGAGGAATTCTTGGGAGCCGGCTCGCTTTCAGCGCCGCCGGCCTCCGCCTGCCTCCCGGAGCTGAGGCGAGCCGCAACAGGCGTCCGCTTCTGCGGCTGGTTGGGGTGAGTCCCCCCGCCGCCCTGCGCGTCCATCTCCTCCTGCGCTTGCTGCCTGCGCAGCGCCACCTGGGCGGCCATCACGCGCTGCCGCTCCGCGATGAGCGCGCACTTGGCGCACGCACAGTCCCGCCAGCGGCAGAAGCGCTTGTGGCCCTTCAGCGCCGACACCACGCCGTGGTTGCGGCAGCGGGCGCACTTCGGCGTGCGCGGGTAACCCACGCCGCGCTCCAGGCCCACCGCCGCCTGCGCGTAGCAACTTGGAGCGTTGCCCGCGGAAAGCGCGGCGGCCGCGGCGCGCACGAAGAAGCTGGGAGGGCGAAGGAAGGTGGGCGGCATGGGGACCCCCGCCGCCGTTGCCGGGGGTGCTGCTCGAGGCATCGAAACGGGCAGCCCCGGCGCGGGCAGGAGCGGCGGGTTGCCCGTGGCCATGAGTCCGCGGATCGGGAGCAGCGCACGGGAGTAACTCCCCCGAGGGTGGACAGCTTTTGCGCGAGTGTGACCGGGCGCTGGTCCCCGCAGACCCCGAGAGAGCGGCTGGCGGGGTGTCCGCCCACTTGAGAGCAGGGAGGGAGCCGCCCACCATGACCGAAGTGACAGGGGAATCTAACTCTCCGGACGGCTTGGAAGCGTTTGTGGAGATTCTCAGTCATCCAGGTCGCCCTTGTCCCAAAGGTGCGTTTTTGTTTTTTTTTCAAAGAAGCAATTGGACTTGCTGGTTTTCTCTGAAGATGTTTCGTTTCTCATCCAAGAAGCTTCTTCGGCTCTGAACTGAAGAAGCTTCTTTGGGTGAGAAACGAAACGGAAGAAGCTTCTTGGGTGAGAAGCAAAACGTCTTCAAAGAAAAAAAAGCAAAGAAACGTCCAGTTTCCCCTTGAAAAAAGCACCTTTGGGACGAGTTGGAAGGGTGTGTTTGTGTCTGTCAGTTGGCTGTACTACTGTGTGCTTCCAGAGGTGCTAAGAAGCACCTCCACTTTAGTGTGTGAAAAGCATTCGGGAACTCTGCCGCCTTTATCTTTTTTTTTTCCCTTGGTGCCTTCCAACACCAACCTGTGTCAGGCAGGTGAGCCTGCAAACCGTCTAACCTTCAGCAGGCTTGATTTTTTTAAAAAAATCCCTTTCATTTGTGGACCTTCACAAATATATTCCCTTCAGTGGAGATGAACAAAAAATTTGAGCTTAAGAAGCTTCTTGGGTGAGAAGCGAAACATCTTCAAAGAAAAAAAACAAAAGAGAAAGTCCAGTTGCTTGCTTCTTGAAAAAAAGCACCCTTGAGATTAAAAAAAAAAAATCTGAGAATAATTGACAACTTTTCGCTCCTGCTTCCCACCCATACACACTCCTGTTGCTGGTGGCCTATGATTGGCATGCGCTGCAGCATCAGATAAAATTAACTTTGCCACTGCAGTGATGTTACGCTGCTCCTAACTCCTAAGAATAAGCAAGATTTATTAGAAAAGCATAGCTAATCCCCAAAGAATGTTAAAGCACTTTCCAACACTGACAAGATCCATCATCCCTTCCCCTCCCTGAAGTTCTCACAGCAAGATAGATTAACAAAATAAAATTAATCTTAGGTAAATTTGTGACTGGATTATCCATGCCTCCTCCACATCTCTGAAACTTTTAACACAAGCACTGTCAGCACGACAAGGTCGAGCAGAATAAGAAACCAATTGTATATAGGTCAGCACTACTTTTATTGTAACAGCTGTAATAAGACAGTCTTGCAAGTCTGAATGTACTTTTTTCTGCCCTCACTCGCTCTACCATTATGTGAATAATTTTGAGACATTTTTCTCAACTTTGTTTATTGGCTTATTATATTTATTTGACTGTTGCCTTAGTGACGGATCTTCTTCCTGTCCATTTCCTATGCCCTGTACAAGAATTCAGAGATATTTGATGTGGAAGTCTGAAGGACCAAGAAAAATGTTTGACAGAAGACCTTATTGATTGGTGTTTACATACTATTCTCAAACTATTCTCAGAAGTAGGGGGCTAGTGATTTAATTTGTTTGAAATATTAGACTGATATTTAATGGTTATATTTCCTGCTCAATAATGTGAATCCAGCCAGTTCTGGCCAAAGAGAATAGTTATCTAAGGCAGATAAAAAATAAATAATATATACATATTTAGCCTTGGACTGAATCGGGCCAGGGTATACATGCACTAACAGCAAGTTTCCAGCTTGGGTCAACCCATGATTTTATTGCTTGCCCAGCATGAATATAAAAACATTTGTCTTCTACTAAGCCACCACATTATATTCTATATCTATGTTTAAAACAGTACCCTTCAAACAACCTCATACATCTGAAAATTAAGGCTTTTGTTGCTGTGATATTAAGAGAATGCTTTTTCTTTGGTTTTAAGAGCCATTATAGACAATGTTAGAAATTGAGTTTCAAAACAAGGCTCAGCATTTCCTGAAATGATTGTCTAAGCATGCAATATAGATAGTCCTTGACTTACAACAGTTTGTTTAGTGACCAATCGAAGTTACAACAGCGCTGAAAAAAAGTAACTCATGATCATTTTTCATCCTTATGACCGCTGCAGCATGGTCATGTGATTTACATTCAGAGCTTGACAACTGACTCCCATTTATGACATTTGCAGTGTCCAGGGGTCATTTTTTTCCCCTCACTGGAAACACAAAATCCGGAAGTAAATTCAAAATTGAGACAAAATTAAATATATTCTCTTCTTCGGATTAAAAAAAAAAATCAATTTAGCCATCTCTGCTTGTCTTTGCTGTGGGGGATATTTGTGTGTGTGTATGTTCATTCATTCTCATATTTTCTAACCTAGTCAGTAATATTTTTTTGCTTCTTGATTACAATGTATTTCTAAGTAGAAAGCTAATATTCATGAAGCTAGGCCACAGATGCCTCACTGCCAGTAATTCCTTTGTTTTCCAGACATAAATATACATAAATATATAGCCTTCCCAATGCCCTGCTTTAAATAAATAGATCCAGACCAACTTTATAAGCATACTGTTTCTGTTTCCTATCTCCATAAAGGCCAGAGATGTTCATTTCTGTATGTATTGGAATAAGACTGAAATTTTCATCCCCGTGTCTCTTTTTATATATGGTCTTTTGCAGCACTTTTAAAGTTAAGAGTAGCTGCATTGCATTAACTGGAGGCCTATTTTGAAAAAAGGTTAGGGTTAGGCCGTATATTCCTGGCTGCCTCCTAATTCACCTTATTATATAACTAGCTTAGTGTAAGCATCTACAGCTAGAATATGAGTCAGTTGCCAAGCGTGCAAATTTTGATCAAGTAACCATGGGGATGCTTCAATGGTCGTAAGTGTGAAAAAACAGTCATAGGTCACTTCTCTCAATGCCTTTGTAACTTAAACAGTCGCTAAATGAGCTATTGTAAGTCAGGGACTACCTGTATGACCAAAACATGTTTGAGCAAGTGTTGAAGTTACACTAGGGGTCTCTAAACATGGCAACTTTAAAACTTGTGGACTTCAACTGACTGGGGAATTCTGGGAGCTGAAGTTCACAAGTCTTAAAATGGCCACGTTTGAAGAACCCTGAGATAGACTACCAGTTTCATTTCAGTATCTTATAATCCTAATACAATTGGGCAACATTTGTACTTCGGAAAGGATGTGAGTTTGTGAGCAGTTAGAAATTCATAAAGCGTTTGATGGTCCAATTAATGGAAGGAGAGAAATAGGAACGTGTGGGACCTGACATACCCACAGATGGCACGGTTGGGTGCCGGAAGAATGGTGGGGGAGGGGAATCAAAAGTTTTCCTGGAGACAGGATCAGCAGCTAGGCCATGGCCAGCTGCCACATCATCTGGCTTAACCAAGGAAAAAGAAATCTTCTCACTTGTAAGCCCTTTCTAACTCTAGAAATAGAAAGAGTAGGAAGGCTTAGAACTGGAACAGAGTTCACATCTGTTAAGCTTATATACATACACATACATGCACAAATACACTTAGAATTGATAAGGTTAGAAATGGAAGTTCAGAGGGAAAAATGCTTCTGATTCATCAGAATTAAAAGGAAGAAATTCGGGCAACTAGGTTATGTATATCATACGTGCAAAGCTTAGTTGAATTACTGAGTTTCGACAATAGTTTGAATTTAAAAAGGGGAAGAAATCTGGAATATTGTTTTTCCACTGCCTCTTTCAGTCGAATTTTTCAAACCCAGGTAGACAGTAACTGGGTTACAACAGCTCAGCTATTTGCCCAAATGGAAACAAGGAAAATGGATCACAGCAATAGGATAGGATAGGATAGGATAGGATAGGATAGGATAGGATAGGATAGGATAGGATAGGATAGGATAGGA